TATGGTTATATAGTGGATTTTGTTAAACGATAATAATAAAGGTTGAAATGATGTCGATGTTGTATCTTCAAATATATCCAAATATATCCAAATATATCCAAATACATTCAAATTGTTCAAATTGTTCAAAGTGGTTAAAATTTAAATGTAATGAAAATATAATACAGTATTATACGAACATACTCCTTACATCCTGTGCTAATGTCCCAATAATCACACAGAAATTCTGTAACTTCGATAGATGTTTTCGCAAACGGACATCGACGTTCGGTAGGTCGATTGATTTGTTCTAATATCGTCTATGCGTATATCAATATATTTAATATACTAATCAATTGACACAGTTGCCACTATAGAAAAATCTTTAAGTAGCTGACATTTAAAATAGTAACAATTACCGTTTACCATTATCCCATTGAAATATGTTTTATTTACTAAGACTCAAGTACTCTTCATACTATTCATGCAGGATTAATTTGTACTTTAATATATATAGAATCTTGAATATGACCTTGAATATGACCTTGAGCATGATCATAGAGATGTAACTATTTCTCAATAAATAGCTACTTCTTTATATTATATAAATGAAACCCATCCGTCATGGATTTTTTAATGTCTACAGCCTAAGCTACCTAGTGGTAAACGGTATGTACAAAAGTTTTTAGCTAATGAATGTCAATAATCTTACTTTTTGATATTCTTCTGGATTTTTCTTCATAAAACTATGCATATTATCAAGTCCCAAATATCCAACACGTTGAATTTCCCATTTCGGCGCTTCCGTCTTATATATAATACGTACACAAATGTATTAATATAATATTAACATAATATTTGACATAATATTAACAAATATTTAAGACAACATAATTATATAAATGCAAATTTCAAATCAAATTATTACGCAAAACCGATTTTTCTCCATTTTCCAGCTTCTTCAGATAAATTTGCGGATTTCCAAATTTCTTCCAACATAAGTTTATGGGATGGAATATGTAATGATACTTGTGTTCTTTTCCATCTGTATGCTTGACGAACAAACAATGATTGGAATTCTAATAAATGCTTTGATAATTCTTCCCCATGAACACCATTCCTCAAAAGCTAAAAAAAATTGAATAAATAAATATTACGCCATGAGCATAAATTATTAAAACATAAATTATCAATCTAACTAAAATTGAATAAGATTATTTAAACATACAGCAACAGCTTTTCTAACATTCAGCTTGTCCAACATGTCCATAAATGATTCCCAATATTGATCAGTAACACGTCTCATAAGAGCATTAATTAAACATAACTATTTGAACGTAACACATAATCGGCCGAAGCAAAGCGTTGCACTAAAGTAGGTAGGAAATTAGGTTGAAGTAGCATAGCGAACTTTTATTGTGATTGGCTGATTTTTGTAGATCATCTCGTCATACTAAAGTATTATTAAAGTAACG